CCCCCCCCCCCCTGAAATGTAGAGGCATACTTGTACAGGTTCCACTCCAGTGGCCTATCTAGTGTGTCCATGCTTGACTGCCATAAGGCTCAAGAGATATAGGATAAGACTCTGCGTGAGCAAAAGACACTAGCGGTCTGCACCTCTACCGTGTACGCCCTAGTCACTCTTTCAGTGGTAGCGGAGCAGTGATCCTGGAAGACCCAGGTGAGCTCCTTTCCTAGGCATAGAATTGCTTGTGGGCAAACGGCCATGGATTGGATTGACGACTGGGAAGAGCCTGATGCGGATGTGGCTTATGAGCCAGCAGCCTATGTGATCAGGCATGTGAGAAGAGAACCAGCAGCGATAGCAATGACAACACAGGTCACTACAAAGGTGCCCCCATCTTATGATGGAAAGACTTCATGGTTTTCCTATGAGGATGCCATAGACGATTGGTGTGATATCACCGAGCTGGAGGATGAGAAGAGAGGACCAGCATTGAGAAACAGACTAGAAGGAGAAGCAGCCGTACACAAACGTGTATCAGACAGAGATGCATTGAAGGCGAATGATCCACCAGGAGCTGGAGTAGAATACTTCAAACGAGTACTACGTCCATATTTTGTGAAAGGATCAACCAGTGTATTCCTGTATAGGTTTATGCAATTCGTGCGCTTCAACCGCGGATCAGCGGACATGATGAAATGGATGACAAGATTCCAGATTTTACTCCAAAGGCTTATGAGCAGTTGGATGGACATGTTAGAGCCAGTCACACAAGCACATCCTCAGGTCCTAGCTCAGATGCAGGCTGATGCAGCGTTGACTGGAGTAGCTCCAACGGCAGAAAGGATTCAGGAAATCATGCAGACCATCAATGGCAATATGAGAACTTTTCATCAGAACGATTTTCCTTTGGGAGAAAATCTGATTGCCATACTCATGCTGTCACTTGCAGATTTGTCTCAGGACCAGCGAAACACTTTGACTTCTTTGATGACTCATCGTGGCAGGGTCCTGCAGCAATACACTACAACAGAGTTGAGGACAGTGTTCATCGAGATGTTCTGCACGACAAAGACTTCAGTAGACAATCCTTCGATGCAGCCGACAGGTGCTGGAGGTAGAAGATCATTTCTCGTACTAGACGAAGGAGAACTCGATGGTACATTTGGCTATTGGGCCGAAGATGAAGAAGATGGAACAGAAGGATTCCTAGATGCCCTGGACGATGTCTTTTGGGTATATGATGAACAGAATTTCTCTTGGTTCCAGAGGAGATTCCAAGGAAGAAGAGCCAGAAAAGGCAAAGGCAAAGGAAGAAGAAAAGGAAAAGGCAAAGGAAGATCAGGCCGCAGATTCTTCAGACCTCGTGGAAAAGGAAAAGGAAAGAGACGAGGAAAAGGCCACTATGCTGATGAGCAACCGCCAACTTATCCAGATGAGTATTTTGAAGAGAATCCTTATGAGGACACTTGGGAGTCAAACCAAGTAGCATATGATGCTATTCTTGCTGAAGATATGAATGACTATCTTCAAGGAGAATATGAAGATGCCAATGACTTTTGGCAACAGCTTGAAGAAGCATGGTTTTCCCACAAAGGAAAAGGAAAAGGCAAGAGAAAAGGCAAGAAAGGAAAAGGAAAAGATAAAGGAGATGGCAAACAAGATGCAAACTATGCAAATCAACAACAGCCACGTTCTTTACCTGCACCTTCAAGAACTTCACAAGCATCAGGAAGCAACCAAGGTTTCTTTGCTCATTGTGTGACAACAGCAGCTGAAGTCCATGACAGTGAGGTGGACTTGCTGTCAGGCATGATGACCTCATGTCAAGATGAAGCTGACGGTAAGGTCAACAATGGTGAGATGATCTTCGATGACATGAGTGCCCCTGTGAGGTACTCTTTGTCAAAGGAGATGCTCACAGATGCTCCTGATGGCTTTGCGCTTATGAGCGCTGAGGAAGAAGTGAAGGAGATGCAGGCTATTTCATTTTTGACTGAGAATCGCTTCCCGCCAACTATTGCAATCCTGGACATTGGATGCACTAGAGCTATGGGATCAAGGCGTGCAGTCGATTATTTTTGTAACTATGTCGACAATCATCCAGACTGTGGACTATGGTACTCTTTTGAGTCTACCAAGAGCAAGTTTTACTTTGCAAATTCTCAGAAGGCTTCTTGCTCTCAGAAACTGGTGATTTACATGTATGATCGTGCATGGACGATCCACCATACAGAGTTCGACATAGTTGAAGAAGGAGAAGTCCCTTTGCTTATGAGCTTGCCACAGATGAGGAACTTAGGCTTTGAACTCAGGCTGACACCTCAACATGCTTACCTCACATCGGTGCCTCTTGGTATAAATTTTTTGGAGTTGAAGGTTGCAGCCAGTACTCATCTTGTTTTGGACTTCCAAGATATTGCATGGTATCTGTCTGACGTGCGTTTGCAGGCTCGGCGCGAGAAGAGTTTTTACTCTCACTTCACTCACTATGAATATGGCCATATTTCGGTTGATCACAATAGTGATGAAGATGAAGCTGAGCATGCATATCCTGTGGTTGACTACTGGGAAGTAGATCTTCACAAGAGAGAACTGACACGTCACCACAAGGATTACAGGAAGATTCTTTTCCCAGCAACTAAGTCCTGTCCTGTAGACACTGACTTGCTGGAAGACTTGCGACTGACAATCATCAAGAAGAAAGATGGAGGAGAAGAGATCAAGAAGACAGATGATTGGCGCAAGGCAAAATGGAAGGACCTACAAATTGGCTATGAATGGCGTGGTAGAACAATTTTTAAGTTCAAGCCAGATGCCAAAATTCCAGATCTAAAGATCAGGAAGGCTGGCATTGAGCACCGTGGCATTGGTGATCCCGATGCAGTGGTGCGCTCCTCCTCAGAGAAGGTTCCCATTGCAAAGGACAGGGAACCAGGCTTCTCTTCAGAGAAGGAAGGTGCACCATCCAGTGCCGCGGAAAAGCCCGTGCCGCCAAAGTTTCGGTATACTTCCAAGGGTTTTGATCCATTTTGGAAAGGACACAAGTCGAAACCATCTGAGCCTCCACAGGATTTAAAAGGTGATGATCCTGAGGGTTATACTCCTTCAGAACCACCTGAGAGGCCAGAAGGTGAACTTGTAGAAATTCCTAAAGCATCAAAAGGACCATCAAGTGATAAACATGAACCACTTGAACCAGGTGATGGCGCTCTTGAGCCTAGGCGGATTTCAATCCCATTACCTGGTAGTGAAGTTGTTGCAATGACACCGGCATATAGGAAGATGTTGCAGAGACTGGAGGACAAGGTAGAGCTTTATAAGCTTCATGTGAAGCACTACCATATGAGTCCTACTCAGTTTCGTAGACGTGTTTCTATGTTGAAGCTTCCTGACTCTGTTTTAGAGAAGTATGAATCAGTTGTCAGGAACTGCCGTGTTTGTAACACTTCAGTGGCACCTCCGCCACGAGCCAGAGTCTCCGGTATTAGAGCTTCATGTTTTGGTGATGTTGTTTTTGCTGATCATTGTGAGGTTGAACTTCACAAGAACAAGTATATCATTCTACTTGTTCTTGATGGTGCCACAAATCTTCTCTGGGCTACGGCACAGAAAGACCTCATAGATCAAACCACCATCCAAGCATTGAGACAATGGTCTGATGAGAACAACTGTGTTCCGAAGGCCATCGTAGGAGACGAAGCCTTTTTCACAGATGCTTTTGTTGAATACTACAGGCTTCATGGTATACAACAATGTCCTTGTGGGCCAAGAACTCCTTGGCCGAACCGAGCAGAGACAGCTGTACGTTTGTTCAAACGTATGTGGCATGTTATGAAGGTAGATCTGAATGACCCACGTTTTCGTGGTGTTACGGTCAGAGAAGTGGTCAAGAAAATAGTGTGGGCAAGAAATTGTCAGTTGACTATCAGTGGATATTCACCAATAGAGATAGCAACTGGAAGACGTCCACCAGATCTCTTTGACCTTGAGACCGCAAGCCCTGAGCAATTGTCAGCTAG